GTAGGCAGACAGCTGCATAATTATCGATCGAGAATGCCACCGTCTGATTTGAAATTTGATGTTAACTAGGCGCGGAGCGCAGCTCGCCCCGCGTAAACTGGGACTAGTCGGTGTGAACAAGCTTTGCAGAGGCTGGTCAAAAATTTGCAGTTCTTTTTCACGATTGTTTGGATTAAAGGTTTTAAGTAGGCGCCACCCATTCCTTACTGACCGTAGCATTTACTGTCAGCACTGATTACGCGCGTTCGTCGTTTACACTCTGATAAAAGTGTACAAAACGTTTAAAAAATCTCGATGGTCTTGTTTTGCACAACAAGCATCTACAGTAATTTCTTCACGAAATACTTGTCAAATCATATTTTTTTGTTTTGGGAGTAGATGGGAAGTGTAATAACAGCCCCCAGAAAGTATTAGGTTTGAATGGCTTATATTCCCACCCCTTCTCCCCGACAGAACACAACAAAAGGAACGCGCCTTCTCGTAACACAGGCGGGACAGTGAGTTGATTATAGTTCTAGAAGCTGCCCATAGTCAGGTCTGTTCAGGGACAAGTGCTTTTTTCTCCAAACGAAAACTGGGTCGTAAAATTGAAATTTAGGCTAGATTTTCGGCACATCTGCTACCTTGAGTGTTCCTGATTTTAACCTAGCTTACTTTTAAGTAATAACAGTCTTAGGTGGGAAGTGTATATATAGTTGTACATGGGTACAGTAAAGCCCCTTCTTCCTCTACATACTACAGAGAGGTTTGTGCTAAATTCCAGCTAGGATAACTATCCCTGTGTTCCAAACCCAACCCAGACCTTAACCATAAACTTAACTCTGCCCTTACTCAAAAATCCAACTTTAGTGCTAAGCTTAAACATAACTCTAAATTCCCAGGAATTTGCGTAAAAGCCAACTGAACTATGACCGATCATTGTTCTCATATCCTCCGAGGGAGCATTTAAGAAATCACTACCCAATCTTATTTCTTTAATAGGAATATTTAAATGGTGTAATTTTACTCGCAGTGTTTCGTATTTCTTGACTTCTCTGACTCTGTTTCCAACAGTCACGCGTACGTCAAAAACAGTGATAACAACTATCAAGGTGGTATGGTAATATTAAACAAATAGTAAAAGATAAACGAAGTACAAACCTTAATAATGGATGCACACAGTCAAGAACAAGGGGAATCAGCCAAATCGCCTGACTCTAGACAGGGGAAAGACACAAGTTCAACAGCAACGACACGCAGGGCGAAAATAGTCTTGGGGGAGCGTGTGTGTGTTAGTAGGAGAGGGGGTATGGCCCTGATCTCACCTGATTTAATATGGCATCAGGATTGATCTGAAACACCAGCGCGAAAAGGGGTGGTTTCGTGAACGGAGGCAGTTTGAAAGTGCATGCAGCAGGGGTGTTGAAATGGCCCTACGACGGCCGCGTTTATCTCGCGCGCAGCGTGCCCGCGGGAGTGGTGGACGAGTGGACGGGTGGTTCTCGGCGTAGCCGCGGCAACTAGGTCAAAAAGTGGGGGAACGGACAGCTGGCTCTCCAGCACAAAGTCACCTCACGGGGTTTCATCTCCGGGATTAGAAACCACTGTCTCTGGCATCAGTGGGA